TACTTTATTGTAATTATGCATACCTCCGCGTCAGCTTTGTGGTTTCATTGATGGTAGATTATTAATTTGTTTTGTAATGCTTTTATGTTCATAATCATACCATATAAACACACATTAACACATATTCATAATTGATTGAACGATTCGTTCGCGAACCGGTCATCACTAATTCATTTATTTGTGTTCAAACTGTCAGTTTCTCCTAATACTGAACTAATCTTATGCTGTGTCCGAAATCGCTCACTCGTTCACACATTCACTAATCCCTATATAGTATATGGCAATTGAGGGGACTATATCAGAAATGAGTGAACGAAATGAAGTGAATGGATTCGGACGGTGACGTATAGACTGCGCGTGAGACTTGGAGCTGTTGCAAAAACATCTTCGTCACATATGGACTTTTATATTACATTTACATGTAAATAATATTAATAGCAATAACACTCAAAATTACTTTATTGTAATTATGCATACCTCCGCGTCAGCTTTGTGGTTTCATTGATGGTAGATTATTAATTTGTTTTGTAATGCTTTTATGTTCATAATCATACCATATAAACACACATTAACACATATTCATAATTGTATGTATTTAGTATCTTGAAACTCTCCCGAGCAGCGTTTTGAGCTCAGATAAGATAATGGTCGTAGAGCGCCCTCAGGCGACCGTCAATTTTACATCAGAATGAATACGCTAATCTGTAGCAGCGAAGGATACACCTCATGCATCCTCCGAATTCCTGTGAAAGAAGGTCGCATTCGGAGTGTCCTACTTGCTTTTCTGAAATGAGACAGTCTCGATGACGTATGCAGCCTTCGAATGCGACCTCCGGAGGGCGCATTCTTCTAAATGAGACACAGCTAGATCTCTCTTCCAGCTCGTCGCTACTCCGCATTGGATTGTGGGGGATAATAGTGCTTCAGCGAGTGTACATCGGTTGTACGCTCGAAATCAGAATGCATTGTGGGTAAAAAGTAGTGAACGAATGTAGGGAATGAAGTAGTTCACTCAGAATTCGGACAGCACTACAAAATGGCTGACACCCGATATAGTGCACTAAATAGGGAGTGGTTAATTCTGTTGCTCAGAGTGAGAGGAAGGCTGATGTTTGTGACGAGATTCCGTAAGTAGGTTATCAGGAACAAGCATACAGTCTATGGGAACAAGTCAAAGAATCTCACATCAATGTCAATCATGTAGTCAGAAGGTAGTACTGCAAGAACAAACAGAAGCAGTTCAAGTAGAACAAAAGTTAAACTATGTACCCTCATAGTCAAAAACAGGTTTTTCTTCGTGCCAATTCCTTCTTGTCTTTTTCTGGAATGCTGATAACCCTCATAGTCAAAAACAGGTTTTTCTTCGTGCCAATTCCTTCTTGTCTTTTTCTGGAATGTTGATATGTTGCTGTATTTTTATGAAAGCTCTTACTCTGCAATATAGATCAACTAATACAAATTCAGAGTATTTTTATATTCAAGTGTACAGTTACTGATATGGTGAACCAGTTTTAATTATATGGTTTTTGACACAATAACTGAGTGATCATCAGACTACAACAGTAAAATCATGAACTCCATTATGAATATTTAATTAATAATAAAAAGATAACGAATTGTAGTTTTCTTTTAAAATTCTGCAATCTAAATGGTCTGAAATTAATTTTCATATTTGTTTTGGCTGGGGCTTTACCTAATTGCTCAGTGCTCATTACAAACAAGAAGAAAAGAAAGCTAAGAACTTAATGAATTTGCATGATTTTAGCTGCATGGGGCACTGGGGTGCTACAAATCAAATATGAAATATAAAGAATTTATGAGAGTTGTAGAATTTAATGTTGTTGTTATTTTTTATATTTATGAATGTAATCACTTACCTTCTTTTAACTGGCAGAACTGTTCGTCAATTGGAAGGGCATTGATACATGTACATGAACCATCAGTGATGTAATCACAGGCCTCGTATGAGTGGCACGTGTCATTCGGCCAAACAAACAGACCCTCACATTTACACTGATACTGTGTTTCATTCAGAGAACACACTGAAAAACAGAATCAACAAAATCATCAGTCGTTCATGGTAGTATTTATCATGTATGAAGTACAACATTACTAAGCAGAGCCAGAGATCATACCAGTAGTTAAGTTGATTTCTGTACTGTTAGTGCTGTCACTGACTGTGTAGGGCAAACTGAAAAACATCAGAAGGTTCCTCAACTGATCAATGATGATCTGATTTTCAGTTAGATATTCACCGGGAACTGGAGTCATTGTGGAAAGATATAAAGAGTTAGGAATATTCACTGCATTTTTTAAATGCAGGAAATAATGTAGTGATCTTGACACTGAGATTGAAGTCAGATGTTGTTATGTACCTGATGCTGGTTACCCACATGCTGTGTTATCTTCCAGGAAAAGGATGAGAATTTATTGGAAAAAATACAGTTCATGTTACAGTAACTGAACCACCGATTTCTGTGTGATTACAAAAGGAAATATATATAAAAAATTACTTGGAATACTTGGATTACTCTGTCACTTGGAATATCATTGATGCAGCTGCATGTGTGGTTAGTGATGCCGTCACAGCTCCCATATTCATTGCATTTATCACACGGCCAGAAATACTGGTCCTCACATACACACTTGTATCCACTGCCATTGAAATTTTACACTAAGAAAGGATACAATGCAAATGTAAGCTCATATTTAACAGATTAGCACTACTGTATTTGTGTTCATAAGGTCATTCTTCACCTGTCGTGATGTCCACATCTAATACTTCAACCACCTCAGTAAACTGAAGTGGAAGAGTGATGTTCTGCAGATATCGCCTCATCTCATCGATCACAGAGATGCTTGATTATTCCAACTCAATTTCAATCAAGAAGTCTGTGAAGGGCAGTTCTGGGAACAGCATCAACAAGCACATCATCAGCTTGGTATTTTCATTACATTTGATATTAGAGTGTACATTTACAATACTGCATTTTTCATCACAATAAATATGTTTATTAATTAATTATACTAACAATAACATGTAAATACATAAGAATTAAGTTAAGCATGCATATCAAAAACACTGCTCATTAGTATGTCAATCAGATGTTAAAATGTAGGCTAATAATAATAATTTGCAGTGCAAAACTGGTGACTCTGGTTGCTAGGATTTAACTGCCAACATTTCTAGACATTATGAGAGGCATTTTGATGCCCATATATTTCAGTATTCACCTTTTTCCCGAAAGAGCAACTGCGGCCATTTGTACATTTTATGAGACTGGCTTCCGGTGTCATCTGCTTCCAGCTATTTTTAGCCGTTCAAAATAGCTCGTTTTGCTGCTTAATATTGCAAACTGGTGTATTACCATATATCATAATGTATTATCTTAATTATGAACACATTGGTTTGTAGTGCAAACAGTTTTACCTAAAACATTGCATAATTTTCGCGCATCAGGGAGCCGCTATCAATATGCATATTTAAATCTCTTATGAATGAGCGCTCGCTGTTCACTTTCACTTTTGATGTGGCGACCACGCACACTCTGTGTAAAGGGAGCACATCTTATAAGATCAGATATCTGTCAGTCTGCTGAGCAGCAAATCCTTCAGCATGGTCTGTCAGTCATCTTTCCTTATTCGACCCATGATCAGTTAAATCTGACTCCTGCAGCTCTTGTCAAATGCAGGGTTGCCAAGTCCGCGTTTTTTTTCTCCATGGAATTGGGCTACTGTTGCCATGGGTTGAGTTCCCCCTGTGGGTTGAAGGTTTGAAATATTGCATAAATTACGTTTGACTGAAATGCTTGTCACATTGCATTCTACCCATGATAAACTGTGGTAGATGTTAAGTTCTCTTTCATCATCTCGTGTTCGAGATCCACCTATGGGAAGGGCATCCATACCTGACCTCTGCAGAAGCATCCAATTGCACCAAGTCTGGCTAGACAGACAGAAGCGCACAGCCAATGTCAGGTAAGGCCCAACCCCCTGTCCGCCTTTTTTCTCGCTCGTTCCCTTTGTCATGGCTGCCAACCGGTTGGACTTTATTGCCCATTCCGATGGCACTCTCCAAATCTGCCGTTTCCTCCGGCGATTGCCTGTCGCGTGCCTGCCCGGCTGCGTGTGGCGCACTAATCGCCGCCAAGAATTCTCACCCATACTGCGTGGTCTGCATGGGCCTCAAACATGTGGAGGAAGCTCTGGAATTCCCCGAAAATTGTAGCCACTGCCTGGCGCTTCCCAAGAAGCTCCATCGCCGCAGGCATAAGGTGGCCGCTACTCAAAGTGCGGATTTCGAACAGTCGGACTCTGACGGGGGAAACGGAGATGATGTCACGCACCCGGGGGACTCCCGGGGAGCGCCAGCATTGAATTGGGCTGACCAAGCCGAAACCGCTTTCCTTGAGGACATCTTAACGGATGAACCCTCATTTGTAAACGAGCCGCCAAGCTTCGGGGACGAGGACGACGCAGGCCTTCTCAAAGAATATTGTGTTCTCATTGACTCATTGAATATTGTGAGCGAGCAGCTGCTCACCTCAATATCGAATGGCCGGCATTACAATGTGCCATCGACTTCAAACACGGTCTCGCGGGTCTCGGGGTGAAGGACATGACGGCCCCATCCCCAGATACCTCAACCCTTCTCAAGGTGGGCTGCTCGCCCCTCCCAAACCTGTTCTCCCTAGCAAAATGGACCAGTTCTCTGCGTCCATCCATCAGGCTTCCTACAAGGCCTCTGCATTAGCAGTCAGAGCCTTGAACGTCTCCTCTCTGCTCTCGGCTTACCAGGCCGAGCTTCTTGAGGACATGGGTCAGCAGCTGGAAAAAGGGTCTGCCCCACCCTCGCTCTGGAAGGAGATCGTTATGTGCTCGTACGCTGTGACAATACCACAGCAGTGGCATATATCAATCACCAGGGTGGTATGCGCTCGTCGAAACTTCACTCTCTAGCTCATAAGCTTTTAGTGTGGAGCAGGCAGTTTTTCCTGTCGTTATGCGCGACTCATGTTCCAGGCATTCTGAACAGAGGCGCGGACCTTATATCGAGGGGGAACCCACTCTACGGAGATTGGCGCCTCCACCCTCAGATAGTGGGCTTGATATGGATGAGATTTGGACAGGCAACCGTAAACTCTGGACTTTTGGTAGTACCTAGGATAGCAAAGTCCACAAAAGGAGGTAGAGCTTTTTCGCATTTGGCTCCCAAACTCTGGAATAGCCTTCCTGATAACGTTCGGGGTTCAGACACACTCTCTCTGTTTAAATCTAGATTAAAGATCTCTTTGGCCAAGCATTCAAATAATGCATCTCATAATCTTGTACTGCAGTTATATCTGATCAAATGCACATTATTATTCTTTAGCTTGGGTTAAACAAATCAATTTTGCTTGGTTGGAACAGCAGCTACGCTAATTATGTCTCTATTTGTTTCTCTGTTTCTGCCACGGGATTGACATCTCAGAGGACCTCAGATGATGCCAACCCTGAAACAACATAAACTACCAAATTTTGCTACAAGTTTGATCGCAACATATTGCTGTTAATAGTGTTCATCGTCTGTTTGATTACGTCATTAACTGAAGTTTACCTTACATTTCTGCCATATGTACATCAATTTGACAGTCACCACTGACAAGCTACTACTAAATATATTGTAGAAACTTAATTTCCTGTAAAGCTGCTTTGCAACGATTTGTATCGTGAAAAGCGCTATACAAATAAACTTGAATTAAAAAAATATATACTTGAATTGAAAAAGAAAAAAACACAAGGCAACTAACTGCAATACAATTGAACAATAAGACTACATTTGATTAAAGATGTTTAAAGTCTTTTGTAACGACCTCTGCTCAAAATAATCATACTTTCATGGTGTTAGTCATAAATTACCAGAAATTCATGAAAATCTACTTTTCACTGACTCACAAAATGTAATATCTTTAAAAAAAAAATCTCAAGCACTATATGTTTTAACATTGTATCCATTATTTTTTACAGCAGATACAGGTGCATCTCAATAAATTAGAATGTCATGGAAAAGTTAATTTAATTAAAAGAACCAAAGACTTAAACTACTTCAGTCTGTGTGCATTGAATTTATTTAATACACGAGTTTCACAATTTGAGTTGAATTACTGAAATAAATGAACCTTTCCATGACATTCTAATTTATTGAGATGCACCTGTATTTACATTAGGGCTGAATCTTTCATGGACGTACCTTGCAATCAATCAGACGGTTTATTGATGATTATTTCATAATAAATGAAAATGACACAAACTGCAAGCACAAATAAGTAGGTTGCACTCCAGTCAACTGCAATCGCTCACCTGAATTTAGGTCAAATTCTTTTTGTTTTCAAGCATAGACAACTTTAAAAATTTAGTACTGAACAGCACATTTCAAAAATAAGGTAAGCATTTTCTTCAATAAATGTACTTCAAATAGGCAGTTTACAACAGTTTTATGTTTAAAAGAATAAACAGTCTGATTTGTCACTCTTACCTTGACTCTGGAAACAACCATGAAGAGATGCCGAACTCGTTTCTCAAGGTCTGAGATTTTTTTTCCTTGTCAAATGATCCACCTACAAAATCTTCCTGGAATTAACGTGCCTTTGTGCAGGTCACCACAATAATGTGACTGCGTGTGGGTCACCTGCAAGTTTGATTCTCTCTATTATTTCCTTGTTCTATTGTGTGAACAGAACAGAGAAGATGGCAGCATTTCAAAAGAAACAGTATAAGGCATTGTGGGCTACATTATCAAGAGTAAATTACATATAATAGGTTATATACTCACATATCACTTAAAAAACCCACTCATTGGTACATTTTGCTTGGACAGTATTATAGTGACACATTTTATCAGGCCTTGTCTCTGAAATCCAATCAACAAAACAATTTGAACAGCAGTATAAAAAAACTACAATTATTATTAAAATTATTATGATTAGAATAATCTAATAATAATAAAATAGATATTAATATCGTCAAACAACTTTCTGTTACGCATTTGGATATAAATGTAAGAAAATTTATTTTCATGGGAGGAGTATAAAATATATTGATTAGATTAGATTCAACTTTATTGTAAATAGTGTAAGGTCCACACACTTGGTCCAAGGAAGGTATCCAGTGGTGGATGAAGGTCACTTGCGTGTTCGGTCTTTTCAGCGCGCAGAGTTATTCAATTTAGGTTTAACTCAATCTATCTTATTTGCATTCATATAGAACATTCTACTATTGACCATTCTGAGTGAATCCAGTGGAGGGAGCAGATGAAAAGGCACTGATGCATATGTGAGAGAGGCGTTTCCTGCACCACCCCTCTGTGGGGTGTCTTGAAGGTGCCAGTGTATTGTCTGTTTCTCAGGAGATCAAAGTATCTGAGTTTCCTGAGTTTCTTTTATCCTTACAATAGTATTAGCTGGGCAGAGTATAGAGTTTTAGTAGGCTGAAAGCTGAGGGAAAGAAACTGTTCCTGAGTCTGCTGGTGCGACAGCGAAGACTCCTATAACATCTCCCAGATGGGAGAAGAGTAAACAGTCCGATGACAAACAATGACAAAGCTCCTGACTGACAGCATTCTTATTTCAAAACTATTTTACTTGGATAAAAAGACCACAAGTGTTTTTTTTTTAATTATGTTTTTTGTGTGTTGGTTTTGGTTAAACTGGCATGAATTTTGCGTGTTACCTATGGTTAGAATGCATCATTTTTATATTATAAAATATTTCACAGAAGATGGTAGATAACAAATCATCTGATCAGATAACAGCGCAAAATTTGGATTACACCCAATGACATGCCAACTCACAAGCAAACACTTTACAAAGCAAAACAAAACGGAACACAATTCTTAAGCTAAACTTTGAATTGAAGATAAAAACATATCAGTAAACATCTAAAGTAAATATTGTGAATGGTGTCTCCATATGGCATAGAATACACATGTATACATAGGTAATCTGATATTAACATTTTCCCCCTTTCTATTTAATATATTGTTGGCAGTCCCAAACCAGGAGAATGGAGAAAATTTTTTACATACAAGCAGTAATTTTATTGTGTATATAATACTTTAGCTCTAATAGCGAGTATTCACATTGATAGTGATTTGCAGTGAAAGCAGTCAGAAGTAATCTATCTTCAGTGAGGCAACATGAGCTCAGGACATCGTGACAATTCAGATCAGAATACAAAGAGCAGTACTCGCAGAGCCGATCCTCCCTATATGCAAAATACGCAAGCTGCGTAGGGCCCCCGAAACACCAGGGGGCCCCCTTGCTCTCAAAGATGATTGAATTTTAGTTAATTTTTTTAATTTGGCCAGCGGTTATGAAAACATGAATGATCATTTATTTTAATGCAGTGCGCTGCCGCCCTTTCTACGTAAAAATCAGTCAAATCATGTAATGTGAATGTCGTACAGTCTTGCTCGAGACTAAAAAAACGAGTTGAAAGAGTACCGACACACTGTTTCTCAAGCACTTTCCGCGAGGGCGATTCGAGACGGAGTGAAACACGGACAAATGCGTTTCATTCATTCGTTCATAACCACTCATACCCCACTCCACACAGTTTTGCGTAGGGCCCCCAGAAGTCTAGGATTGGCACTGAGTACTCGTGTTGCCAAGTTGGAAACCAAATGACTTAAAGGTGCACATATAATAGCAGTGGAAATTGGTACTACAGTCGAAATTCAAAATATTGTAAAGCGTTGTTTCTCCTGCCCCCTCCTCGAGTCACTCAGCACTCACATGGGTTGCCAGATTGAACTGTAAATCGACGAGTTGATTTTCCCGTGTTTTAATATGACTCTGGTCATAGAGATTTTGCTCTATCAATCTGCTATCTCTGCAATATGCTGTTTTCTGCCAACTGGCAAACCTTGGTGTCAAAATAGTAGTGGGTAAATTGGCAGTGGGCGGAATCACACACACCAAAACAGACATTCCGACAAGGAACTCACATTTCCTGGTTGTAACTGGTAACTGGAGTAACTTATTGTAGCATTGTTGTTTAGAGAAACGAGTATGTGAACTTAGCATATTTCCTAAACATCTGCAAACATGTTATGGTATTTTTATGCTTTAGTACATTCAGCAAAATTACAACACCTTTAAAGGCACTTTGACATGTGCAACTGCTGCTGCGACCACTGGCTAACCAACTTTGAATGGGTTTAAACAACTTTATGCAAATAAGCTGCTACTTAATACAGTGATGTAAAGAATGTAGACCTAGGTCACATGACCCACTAACAACATAAGAAAACCTGCAAGAAACATTTATATATTATATTAGAGGCAGCTTTCAGTCAACAATACAGAAAATGTATTTCTTAGGTTAAGTGTTATCGCAGTGCCAACTTTTGACATGAAAGATATTCAAATAACACTGGAAAGGAAACATGATCTGATTTATCTCTAGTGTCAATCCTGTGAAACCCTGTCTGCTGTGAACTCAAGCCTAGTCTGCTTTGTTCAGCATTTCAACTGTTCTCCCATGCAGGCAAAAGCCGATTATAAAAGAAGACTGACAGGCAGTCATCAGCATTAGCTTTATGAAGCTACTCTGCAGAAATGACTGACTTGCATGTGACCTGTGTGTTCCATAGTTTTTTCTTCTTAATCAACAACACATTAAAGCCCAGACTAACTCTAAAGGAAAACGCATCAAAATGGCATGGCATGAGGGTGTAGCTGCCCCCTGCTGTCCACCCAGAGCTACGTAACATTGAATGTATGATACCATATCCTGATTCAGACTAGAAACAAAATACTCATTCACAACACCTGTAATTTTACATTCTGTAATTTTTCCCCCAGTTACTCGGTTGAACATTTGATACATATTATAAATCTGTACAGTACTTAATTTTTGAATGAGGTTGTTTTACATTTTAGTTTCAACTCAGTTTATTTTATTCAGGAAATGTTTGACTATTTTATGTTTAAAACGGCATATTCAGGAATTGGAAAAAAAAAACATTGCATTAAAGGCTTAAGAAAACTACTTGAGTAAATTTAATATGAAGAGGCATTTAATTATTGGTGATGCAGTAACATTTAGAAATTTTGGAAACATTTAGAATTAAGACAAGGAAAAAACGTATGTAAATGTCTGATATAAAACAAAAGTGAACTTTGCAAAACAGAGAACACTTCTTGAGTTGTATTACTGGAAAATGACCCCAATTTTGTTAAGTAGGCATACAAATAAAAAGTCCACACCCTGCATTCACAATATATATACACAATAAAACAAAGTAATATTGTAGCCTTGTTTTTAGACTAATCCTATCAGTAAACACTCTCAAAAAATAAAATGTACAAAGCTGTCACTGGTGTGGTACCCTAAGGTACAAAAACGAAGAGGGACATCTTTTGTCCCTTCTCATTTACCGACATGGTACATTACTACTTTAAAAATAAATTTTAGTACATTTTGAAAGGGCACTGCCCCAGTGACAGTTTTGTACCTCAATGTCTGAGAGAGTAGAAACATTTCCTCAAAAAAAAAAAAATTTGCATCGGAGAAAACACTTTGTGAGTGTCTTTTAGTCGTTTATAACCGCATATGAGCTACTGGAGCTGTCTGAAGATGGAAGTGCTGAGGAAGGGTTAGCTTCTGACACATTGTACACATCTGCAAATAGTTAAATGTATGTTACTGACTATATATATATTATAACTGTTTACTGTCTTAATTGAACACATTTTTAACCAAATTATTGATAAAGCTTATGATTATGAATAATAACTATATTCATATTGATATGAATAATACATATTAAAAATGTTAGTTTTTATTACTGATTATTGATGTTATTTACTTACTCCTCCGCCGCAAGAAAGGCAGTCCAGATGTGGATAATGTTCCTGCACTGGTGTTCTGCAAGGAGATATCAGTCAAAATAAATCACAAAGAGTCAAAGTAAAGTAAAAATTTACATTTAAGCACTCATTAGGAGATGAATGTTAGTAATGGAGCTCATATAAGTGTGTGCTGTTATAGAATGCCATTTACATTGGTTCGGCTAGAAGTGAGTTTCTGCAGCAACAACTTTCCTGGTAGTGACTCACGAACCTGCAATTAAAAATCTCTAGTTAACTTATAGAAATTTGTTTAAAGTCTCTTAAATGTCTGCCTATTATACAAAACACTTGATTCTGATTTGTCAATCATGCCACCCAGCGGTCAGATATTTTCTAATATTCAGTCGTCCATGGCAACGCTTTATATGATCAGAAATGTCATATTTTCAACTTGACCGCACATGAACGTCACTTTCAGTGTAAATAGCTGCTGAAATATTTGCAGGGAAAATGTTTCTTTGGTCAGTCTAAGCCAGGGGTGGCCAGCTTTGGTCATTTTGCTTTTGGAGTTTCGCTTCAACCCTAATCAAACAGACCTGAACATGCTAATTAAGGTCTAAGGGTTACTAGAAAGCTACAGGCCAAGTGAGTTTTTATCAAGGTTGGAGTAAAACTCAAAAAGGACATTTTATTCTTTGCAAAAGCGTAAACTCCACTCAGTATTTCATTTCACTGGTGGGCAGCTGTGTATTAAGCAAAATAAAAACAGTTGAAATAAACGTGAAATGTGAAAATGTATGGTTTAAGGAATATACATTAATACAGTATGTCTATAATGCCGGATCTTTAGGTTAAATACAACATTAAATGTTAAATTGCATTGCTTAAGCTCTTTACAAAGCAACTGAAGTAAACTCATACCTTGCTGTCTAAAAGCGTTCCAAACACCAAAATAAAGAATCCCTAATAAAAGAAGTGTTACAAATACATGAAATTCATAAGACCATGGACATTTATAATAAATCAATGTACAGCATTAAAGTGTTAATGTAATAGATATGAAATTGCAATGAAAAAAAAATGTAATCTTACTATAAAATTGATATTATAAAGTAGTACCTGCAGTGAATTGAGGAGTGAAAACACCACATGAATGCCAAAGTCACGTGATGCCATGGTTCCAATTCCAAATCCCCATGTTAGACCAAAGATAGGAGTTAAAAAGGCCACACATCTGCCAATAACCACCAGGGCATGTTTCTCATCTGGTTGAGTTGCAGCACCAACTCCTCTCCTCAACATCTTGTACAGAACCACAATCAAAACCACAAGGTTTATGGCTACAATAGTGAGAGCTGGAATCACAAATGCCAACAAGGCTTTTGATTCATTCCAGTTAAGCCAGCATGCATTTCTTTTGGAAATATAATTTTGAGGTCCAGCTGTTGATGCAACAGTAATGACCGCTATGAGCAAAGGTGCACCGTAACCGACTGTGAAGGCAATGACCATCATTTTGGCCCTTGACATTTGAGACAAGACCATGACTGTACGATAAAAGAGTAACAGTGCTGACATTAACATCCAGAAGAAAAGAGCCAGGTAAAAGAAGTGCATGAAGAAAACCGCTGGACTGCAGCGATCCACTGAGGGTGGCTGCTCTTGTTCTGCGATTGCAGCTCCAATGATAAAACAGATGTTTGCGATCAGCAGGGACACCGCAATGTTGACTATGGAGACATGTCGCATGTAGGATGTGTCATTTCTTCTCACTGACTTCCATACGATAGTCTCAATAATCAGGCATATAATCAAGCTGGCCATCGAAATAGCTACGCCAATGTAAGTTATATAGGCTAAGGCCATGAGATGAATGGGATCAATGTGAAATGGTGACATTAGGATCGAAAAAGAGGTTGTGTGGTTGCATTCACATGTAATGTTGCCAGTGTTGTTCCGCTTTACTTCACATCCAGTGGAATCCCATGTGTTGAGACTAAAGTTCCAAAAGACACACTGAGAATTTCCCAAAGACTGATCAGTAATGTCAAATGTAAAAGAAATGTTGTTAAGCGTCTCATTAACCTTAACAACAACCACATCTCCATTGATGCGCACATCTGATTTCCTGCTGTCATTACTACCATGAGTAGGTAGGACATTGTCAAGAGTCGTGAAGATTATGATGGTTATGATAGTCGCCCGAGGAATCTGTTGTATCACAATCTCTGTAGTTGAGTTTAGCAGTCTTGATGTTAAAGTGAATGAGTTTTTAACTGTAGTTCTTTTCAGCTGAATGGATGGTTCATAAATCTCAAACTCATCTGTGAGACGGTCACTTATATCCTCAATAGCACTCAGAAGTTTAATGCTGGTGTTGTTTTTGCTCAGTTTGCTCCATGTATCACTGACATTATCTGATACAATAATATCCACTGTTTTTAGGAAATGCTGAAAATTGAATATAAATTTTATGATGAAATTTGTCCCATAAAATGTGGAATATACTACTTTATACTATACAATATTATACTATGCTACAATCAACAGATGTAAATAATGAAAATAAAGAGAATGGCTGTTGTTGGCTGTTGAGTAAAAGTACAGATACCTTACAGCGAAAATTACTCCATTACAAGTTACAAGTCAGTCACCAATTCCAATACAACTTGTGTAAAAGATAACACCTCGTTAAATTCCATTTAAAGTGCAAAAAAAATAATATACATACCTCCATTACTGGTTTATTGATAAAAACTGATTGTGACAAATCAGCAATTTTAGAGAGTATATCCACAATTGCTTGGACAGTAGCAGCAGACTGGGTTATATTAATATCATGCTGTTCTGTGGCAATACTGAGGTTAGCCATAAACACTGGAATCTCCTCCACAAGCAAGGACTAAATTGCAAAGTACAAAAATGTTAGAATGTATTAGACACATTTAAAATGCACAGGTGATTGTTCAATATATACATGATCAATAGATTACCTCAACTTCACTTGTAAGTTTGTTGATAACTTCAAGTACACAGTTGTCCTCTATTGATTTCCAATGACGTGATTCACATTTGTAAGTTATGGTGCCTTTCATGCCATTTCCACAGACTCCTGTCCTCACGTCATTTGTTTTGCCAACTCCAAGTTCTTCATGTTTACAGACATCATCTGACGAAGCATCTGATTAAAAGAAGAAAATGAGATTCAATTCTACAATTTCTCTCAAAATATCACATTTTGAAAATTTTGGGAATAAATATTAACATAAAACAAATTCTGAATATTTAGGACCATGTGATATTTCAGTTTTTTTTTTTTAATAAATCTGCAAAAATGTCAACAATTCTGTTTTTCTGTCAATATGGGGTGCTGTGTGTACATTAATGAGGAAAAAAAATTAACTTAAATGATTTTAGCAAATGGCTGCAATATAACAAAGAGTGAAAAATTTAAGGGGGTCTGAATACTTTCCATACCCACTGTAAATCCATTCAATATAATACTGTTCAATAACAATCACAATTCATAGACCTTTTCAAAATGTGTCATTCAAAACCAACATTTTTTTAAACTGTTTACTAAAATTACCAAAACAAATTAGATAGCTAAAATCATCCAATCTAACTGCACAAGAGTTGGATAAAAGCACTTTGATGGTGAAAAGAATAAGAAACTGAAGGCTTACGTGCTGTGCTTAATCTAACTGTAACACTGCTCTGGCTATAGCCATAGATCTGTAGTTGTGGCAGATCCCTGAGACGACATGTAAAGATTTCCTCTGTACAATTTCCATTTTGCATTCTATGGATGTATGTGATACTGTCACTTCCTGATTGGGTAAAACAAAAGAAATGTATGAATAACATTAATAAAAGGGTAACACACACATATATATATACACACACACACACACACACACACATATATATATATATAGTGGATTTCATTTAAGGTTTAAATTACAATAGTAATTGTTTTATATAAAAAAAGAATTTATGTCGAACCTGACTTTAATACTTTTTCACCCAGGACCCACTCAATATTGTAGCCAACATCAACAGAACATTTCAGTTGGAAACTGCTGCCATCACAGAGAATATAGTGGTCCTTTTCACCCACATTAATATTGGGGCGTTTTTTAATAGCAATGTTTTGCCATTGAATGTACGGTACATTGCCTTGTATGATGCACGAGTATTGACCTGCATGTAGAGGGAAAAAACAAAAAAAGAAAAATATAAAGAAAAATATTTTATAAAACAAATTTTATAAAACAAGCCCACTACTTTCAGTTTAAGAAACATTTATATTTATATTCATACTTACTATTGTATTGTATATGTATATATTTATTTGCTCTCAAAATAATACTTTGTAAATGTTGACATTCACACACTGTCAGTGTAGCTTAATTTTCATTGGTTGACTGGTTCATCATCTCTGCCATATATGGTATACACTAAAAAACATGGTTCTTTAAAGGGTTTTTTTTACGCTTAGTAACAGTTCTATTTAGGATAATATCAGCCTGAAAAAAAAAACTTCACCTCTATTCCACCTCCAGCTCACTACTGATTTTCTGGTGCTCAACCATCCAACTACACAGACTGTCAACACACACTCAACAGGTAAATCATTTCTGAAAATGTCTGTAATTTTTTATTTTTAAATTGTAACTGGTTTTCTATCAAATAATGTATTTTTCTCTTTCTCTTAGTTTTTTTTTTTTTTTTAACAGAACATGTAAATGTGACCAACTCTGTTCAGTTAAGGACACTTCTCTCCTCTTCTCCACTAGGTAACAGAGATATTGAATTTATTATCCATATTGTTAAGGTTGTTTTAATTATTACTTGGGTTTATGCATAAACATACCCAGTCACAAAAACATTAAAGCTATCCAATGACTTCACATCACTTTTCTATTTTAAAATTGTGAAGGGCTCACATACTGTCCATTTTTGCTACTTTTGGCCTTCATAAATTGTTTTTACATAAACAAATAAAAGAGACACACTGTAACTCTAAGCTCAGTTGTGTTTTTCAGATGCTGTCTTGTCCCACAACCTCATCATCTGCAGAGAGAAAGTGCAACTCACAGTGTGTTTCCATCACCCTGTAAATATATTTGATTAATTTTGAAGTAGTACAACAGAAACAAGTGCTGGAAACACCAAATTTTTTGGGGGAAAACAATATTTTAATTCGCAAAAAAGTTTTTATGCTCACTTGAGGTGGTTTTTCACTAGTGCGAAAAAGTGTTAATGCAAATAAGGGGAGATGGAAATGCATTTTGCGAATAAATTCCTCCATGTTCATCAAAAAAGTAATGTGACTGCACTATGAGACAGCATTATCTGACAAACCAGCAGACCAATAATAAAAAAATATTTTTATAATTGCCTCCCAGAACTATCTTAAACGACTGTATTTATTAATTATGGATTTGAAGGCATCAGGATTGTGAAGATACTTCACTGGAAGTAGGTCTTCAAAAATAAAAGTATCTAAATGGCACAACATGTTGTTGTTGTTGTTGTTTAGTCTAAAACCATAATAGAGGCGACAACATATGACAAGACCAGTATTGTTACAAACCAGAGAACCCTAATATGATACTGTTTAGAACCATTTTAGTTCTATTTGAGTGCAGTATTATCGTATGCTATAGTATATCAGTACTGATACACTAAAATAAACACTTAAATATCATAGACAATGTAAGAATAAATCTCATGTCACTCACCACTGTCACTTTCACTTGCGTTTTTTACAGTGAGAGTTCTGTTGTCATTTGAAATTAAGTATCTTGTGTCGCCTAGTGCAGGATCTGTGTTATCCACTGTCCATTTTATTTGTCCCTTTGCAAAGTCTGGCTGTCTACAGTTCAGGTCCACCTTTTGCAGAGGATATAACTGATCTGTTGTTAGGACCATTTGATCTGTAAATAAAAACCATACAGCTCAAATATCCCAACAGTGAACAAAAACAATACATTTGATGAAATGTAAAGAGTTTTAGATTAGGCACTGACTACCCTTACCACTTAGAGTAAAATCATCTTTAGCTAAAATTAATCCTTGTGTTCTTAGAGAGTCAGAAACCAGTGTGTTTGCTGCTTCAAAATCAAGGCTGTTGGATGTTGCACTTATTGTGTAGTCTGCTATAACACTACCAGGCCTAGAGTGAAACACAAACCACATCAGTGTGAAGGCTCTGTATTAACATTATATTTGTTTGAAAAAGTATGAATAAATGGAAAAGTTTTGCCAAAAAAGTTTCAATTGTAAATCATACCTGAAGCCAGTGACTTTAGCAGAACCAACCTTGTAGCCAGTTAGCTTATTAGAATAACTTGTGTTAATCTGTAAAAAGCAAAAGGTGTGCGTGAAAATTTTATAGAATATAAATTTGATTGTATTTATAGTATTTAAACAATATAATCAAAAATCAACAAATTACACAAATAATATATTTCTTTAAAATATGAAACATGTTATACTCACTGCTGACTCAATGTGTCCAGATAAAACTTTGTAAGTCATGCTATTACGGTCAGTAAGACTGATGTCAAATGTCAAATCAGATATTTTCATTGACATTCCAATAACTGTAAAAGAAGTGTACATTTATGTGTATTGTAACAACAGGTTTAAGCAACAATCCCCAATACTAATACTACCTAGTTGCTGGGAGTAGACGAAATGAACCCACCCCCAACCCCCCAAAAATATTACCAGTTATTATTGACATGCCTTGTATACCCCAATTTGTGACTGTGCTACTAAATGTAATATTAAGATCATTATGCAGTAATTTAGACACAAAATATTTTTGTGCAATATTTTAAATTTAGTTTCACAATACTTACCTGTCTGTGCGGATGCTGTCGCTGAGGCTGTTGAATATTACAGTACAAAAAAAATGAGTAAAACCAAAATATGAATTTCATTTTTTTACTGAATGAAACCAAACTTAAAAGTTTTTTAAACAAAGGGTTTATGGATCTATATTTGTTTCCCTAAACATGCAAAGCAATAAATTCATTCCGTTATTTCATGAATCTATTTATTTTTAGAAGCCAAAAAGTCTAAAATAAACTTACTCACTCTGTATCAAAATACAGATTGTTACTGACTGTAAACACCACCAACAATAACACAAGAATTAAGCAAGAGTTATCTATACTAATAATAATTTTTACCATCATCACATGATTCATCTCAGATTTTTTTTTACTGGGCATACCTATTGTTTTCATAATTGTTCCTGTTGTTGATGGTTGTATTGATGGTGTTGGTGTTGATGGCGTAGATGTTGATAGCTTAGATGTCGATTGTGTTGATTTTGATGGTGTTGATGGCTTAGATGTCGATTGTGTTGATTTTGATGGTGTTGATGGAGTAGATGTTGATGGCTTAGATGTCGATTGTGTTGATTTTGATGGTGTTAATGGCTTGGATGTTGATTGCGATGATTTTGATGGTGTTGATGGCATATATGTTGACTGTGTTGAGATTGATGGTGTTGATGGCGTATATGTTGATTGTGTTGAGTTTGATGGTGTTGATGGCGTATATTTTGATTGTGTTGAGTTTGAATGTGTTTGATCGTGTGACGGTGCAGATGTTGATTGTGCTGCTGTTGGTTGTGATGGTGTAGATGTTGATTGTGTTGCTGTTGATTGTGATTCTGTTGATGATGATTCTGTTGATGGTGATGGCATTGCTTTTGATGATGATGGTGATTCTGTTGATGGTGTAGATTTTGATTGTGTTGCTGTTGATGATGATGATAGTGATTTAGTTGATGGTGTTAGCATTGATGGTGATGGCGTTGCTGTTGATGATGATGGTGATTCTGTTGATGGTGTTGGCGTTGGTGGTGTTGCTGTTGATGATGATTCTGTTGATGATGCCGGCATTGCTGTTGATGATGATGTTGATTCTGTTGATGGTGTTAGCGTTGATGGTGATGGCACTTCTGATGATGGTGTATATCTTGATTGTGTTGCTGTTGATGATGATGGTGATTCTGTTGATGGTGTAGATTTTGATTGTGTTGCTGTTGATGATGATGATAGTGATTTAGTTGATGGTGTTAGCATTGATGGTGATGGCGTTGCTGTTGATGATGATGGTGATTCTGTTGATGGTGTTGGCGTTGGTGGTGTTGCTGTTGATGATGATTCTGTTGATGATGCCGGCATTGCTGTTGATGATGATGTTGATTCTGTTGATGGTGTTAGCGTTGATGGTGATGGCACTTCTGATGATGGTGTATATCTTGATTGTGTTGCTGTTGATGATGATGGTGATTCTGTTGATGGTGTAGATGTTGATTGTGTTGCTGTTGAAGATGTTGATGATTCTGTTGATGGTGTTTGTGTTGATGGCATTGCTGTTGATGGTGTAAATGTTGATTGTGTTGCTGTTGATGATGATGATGGTGATTCTGTTGTTGGAGATGGCGTAGATGTCGATTGTGTTACTGTTGATGGTGATGGCAGTGCTTTTGATGATGATGTTGATTCTGTTGATGATGGTGCATATGTTAATTGTGTTGCTGTTGACTCTGTTGATGGTGATGGCATAGATGTCGATTGCGTTACTGATGATGGTGATTCTCTTGATGGTGTTACTGTTGATGATGATGGTGATTCTGTTGATGGTGTTAGTGTTGATGGTGATGGCATTGCTGATGATGGTGATTCTGTTGATAGTGAATATTGTGATTGTGTTGCTGTTGATTCTGTTGATGGTGATGGCATAGATGTCGATTGTGTTACTGTTGATGATGATTCTGTTGATTGTGTTGATGATGATGGTGATTCTGTTGATGGTGATGGCATAGATGTTGATTGTGTTACTGTTGCTGTTGATGGCATAGATGTCGATTGTGTTACTGTTGATGATGATGGTGATTCTGTTGATGGTGTAGCTGGTGGTGGTACTGTTGAAAAAATGGACATGACTGGGTTTGACATTTATTTATTTCTGTGCATGTAAACTCTTTAAATCCTGTAAAATCTTTATAAAGATACTACCAAAACACTTCATACATGTCAAATCAAGTCATTCTTCCATAACACTAGCAAAGTTTGTTACCCAACAAACACACTTTGTCATTCATGAAACAATGACCTAAGACACAAGCAACAGGTAGAATTATACAATGTTTTCTTTTGTAAAATATTTTTACAAAACAAGAACTAGTTTATGAAATTGCTGTTGTGATGTGGACTTCAGGATTCAAAGGGATAGTTTACCAAAAAAAAAAAAAATCCATCATCATTTACTTATGCTCATGTCATTCCAAACCTGTATGACTTTTTGTGGATCATAAGACATATTCAGAGAAATGGTTTATTTATTTATTTATGTTGGGTTTTTTTTTTGGTCCATGCAATGGAAGTCAGTGATAACCAAGACGGTTTGGTTACCAACATTCTTCAAAATATCTTCCTTTAAGTTCCACAGAAGACAGAAAGTCATACAGGTTTGGAATGACTTGAGGGTGAGTAAATGATGACTGATAATACATTTTTGGGTGAACTATCCATTGAAGTTAAATGTGTTTACGTACCTGTTGCTGGTTGCGCACATGTTATGTTATCAGCTGGAAAAAGATGAGCGTTGATTAAAAATAATTTGTATACAGTTCAAAAGTATCTGACCTACAGGTCTTTTATGTGATTACAAACAGAAAATGTATAAAATTATTTTACTTGTTATCTCGTTGACTCTTTGACAGAACTGTCTGTCACTTGGAATATCATTGATGCAGCTGCATGTGTTGTTACTGATGCTGTCACAGCTCCCATATTCTTTGCATTTATCACACGGCCAGAAATACTGGTCCTCACATACACACTTGTATCCACTGTCATTGAAATTGCACACTAAGAAAGGATACAGTGCAAATGTAACCTCATATTTAACAGATTAGCACTACTGTATTTGTGTTCAGAAGGTAATGTGATATTCTTCACCTGTCGTGATGTCCACATCTAATACTTCAACCACCTCATCTAATTGAAGTGGAAAAGTGATGTTCTGCAGATATCGCCTCATCTCATCGATCACAGAGATGCTTGTTGATTCCAACTCAATTTCAGAGAAGATGTCTGTGAAGGGCAGTTCTGTGACAGAATCAACAAACTTACAATCATTGTAAACGCATTGTTTTCATTGTATTTTTTCATTACAATGTATTTCTACCACAATATATACGTTTATATAATTAATTATATTAACAACAGCAATGAGTAAATATATCAAGAAATAGCAGCCTACATTGTTCACTATATTTGTCAGTTTATATGGGGGTTAATAAAATTTTTTTAATTTTTATATTAAATAATGTTCAAATTATGATTCATAATTTTTATTTAAAAAATGTTTAAAAGTAAGTATAAGGCTGTTAAATATAATATAGATTTTCACTGTAAATATGCAAAATCATACTTTTTTTAATAAAAAAAGTGATTATAAAATTACCTGTTAAATTTAATATATTTTTACTGTACACGTTATGGTAACTTACAGTTAACCAATTGACATTTTTTTACTGTAGTATTTTAACATTATTTTTCTTTTTGAGTGCATTTGCTGCTGGCTTGTTTGGTCATCATTCTTACCGTTCTCCAGCACACACATTTCTCCATCACTGGGAATATGACTGATACATCCACATGAGCCAAAACTGATGTCGCCACATGCCTCATATGCCTGGCAGTTGTTGTATGACCATGCATAACCATCTTCACATATGCACTGGTATTCAGACACATTTGGTTGGCACACTGACATAAATATAACACACAGGTTAACAATAGAATGTTTACACAACATTAAAGATGAAAACTAAGCAGAAAGAATGACGGAAATAGCTTTTAAATACCAGTTTAACAGGTTCACCTGTTGTAATGTTTGCAGAAGTAATTTCAGTACTGTTGTCCATTTGAAAAGGAAACATGACAAAGGCCAATGATGTTTTGATCTGTTCAATCACCACAGCTTGGGATACATTCATTTCCACAACCGCAAAGTATTCCAATAGATCTATACATACAGGAAAATGAATGTGACTTTAATAATTATGCAGGCAGATAGTAAAGTACAAGACAAAACCCTTGACAGACAAAATCCCTCGCCCAAAAATTTAAAAGTATACTATGTTAATGTATCTTTTTTTATATGAATAACAGCACACTTTTATTAGAATAGTGTGTATGAGTAGAGGACAAACTGTGACACATTCAGTACCTGTGCTTCTTGGTCTTCTATGATGCAGTTGCCCATCTATGTAGCTAAACTGGAATAAAATAACAGAAATACACATTTATTTTACATATAGAATTTTATCACATTAGTTAACTATGCGACCATATAGCTTCATACTATTAATTTTATGTTTTATTGCTATAATCATAATTGTTAAATATTTTAAATGCTTTTAATGGGTACAAAACATTTAATTCATAATATAAATGACTATCTTATTGACAGTTCTGAAAATGACAGAAATCTGTTGTTTTTCATATTGTATGAATTGCATTCATTCCTGTATTTGTTTCTATAGTAGTTCCCCACCTGTAACTCGATATTTGTTTCTGGGAAATCAGAATATGCATTTGCATATGCATTCCGCATTCCACATTCACAGGTCAGCAGGACAGCCATGATGATTCCTATGAAGTACTTTAATATTTGTCCTGTATCTTAGGAATTGAGAAATTAAACATCAGGAAAAAATACTAGTAGTAGGAAAACAAAATATTCATTAACATTTAGTCCAGAAATTAAAAGGTCACAGAAAATAAAATACATATGTGTACAGTGCTGCATGACTTCTTCTACAATGCAAATATCTAAACTTGTATCTACAGCCAACAACCGGGAAAACTTTTGCGTGTGTCTAATGGTGCAAAAAATTAGAACTGGCTGTCTTTGTCCATTGCATGAAATGCTTCAATGTGGACATCTCCACGTTTGCGTGTTACTGGCAGGTTACTTTAGGTAAAAACTATAATTAACATTAAAATAACCTTAATTAATACCCATGTATCTACCCCGCTGCCATAGCTGTTAGAAATGATATGAAAGTAGTATGCAGGCATAACATTCTTCTTAAAACGCCAACACATTCTGTCCCATGTGACATCTGTATACTGTATGTTTATATTTACACTAATTTTTACCATATTTTGCTATATGGTAGATTTTGTTATTTTCACTTGTTTGCACATTTGAATGATCATAACTTTAATTCATATTTTAGTATATTTGTTTAATGTTTTATAGTTTATGACAAGTTTTGGTATTATATGAAAAGTTTGCTTATTTGAAGATCAATACATAAACATCTGCACTAACCTTCTTTATTGATTAGTGATGGATAGAATAAATAAACATGGTTCACTAATCAGTAGTTTTTAGGAGTACTGATATTTTTACTTTACTATCACTAGTATTCTGACAAACTTCTTTACACGGTATTTAAAGGGATAGTTTAAATACCCCCCCTCATTTACTCACCCTCAAACTGTTCCAAACCTGTATGAATTTCTTTCTTCTGCTGAACACAAAATAAGATTTCAGTTGATGGTCCCCTTTGACTTCCATAGTACTTTATTTATATATTATGGAAGTCAGACCATCAACTGTTTAGTTACCCACATTCTACAAAACATCATCTTTTGTGTTCAGCAGAAGCAATAAATTCATAAAGGTTTGGAACAGTTTGAGGGTAAGTAAATGATGAAAATTTTTTGGTGAATGATCCATGCAAGTAGATGTTTTGACAGTTAACTTGAAGGACAGGGGTACGATAACAGGTATAAAGAAAGACAGATAAAACATACAGTAAGCCAAAAATACGTTTATTTGTAGTTTATTATACCTTGACTGGCCATGTTTCTCACTGATGTCTGTCAGTCAAAATCACTAAATAAAAAAAATAAGAAAACAATTTTTTGAATGGCACATTTCAAAGTCAAGGTAAGAATGTATTTCTATGAACATGCTTCAAAAAGGCAGTTTACAGCAGTTACACATTTAAAAGAATAAACACTCTTACCTTGCCTCTGGAAACAACAATGAAGAGATGCTGTGCTTTAGGGTGTGAGATAGTTTCTTTGTCAAATGATCCACCTCTAACAATTTACTGGAATGAATGTGTCTTTATGCAGGTCACCAATTGTGTGTGTGTATCACCTGCTAGACAAGTCTGATTCCCTCTATTATGTTCTCTTGTGTGACCAGACAAGAGGGATGCATTTTAACAGAAACACTGTGGGTTACATGATCAAATCATATATTATTACATTTTATATATATAAATTGCTAAAAATGAAGATTTTAATGTCTAAAGTCATCTTGCTGTTACACATTTGTATATAAAACATGCACAACTTTCATGGGCAGAGTATAATAACATGTAATTTTGTCATTGCATAACCGTATGAACACACCTAACAGCTTTTATTCAAAATTGGAATGGGAGTGTTTAAGATTTGTTACCCATGATTCATCAGATTACTGTAAGTTCAGTGAACACTATTTATATCTAACACACACGTCACACACACACACATTATATAATTTTATATATCGAATTAAGGGGTTATTTTCTGTTATACTGCCAACTTGTTTAAAGGTTCGCTCTATAAATGCAATAAGTATAACAAATTACATATGGCATTAATAAATTGCTATCAACAGACCATGAATAACCATGAATAACAATAAAGCTTGTATGAGCAGCAATATTACACGTTAAATATTAATGTAATTAATGTACGTCTATATATAATAAAGTTATGTTCCATCATTAACTGGACCATTGATAGAAATTTCAGTGCTCTCTGTTATTTTAACAGATGAAGAGCAGACCACAATAGCATAGCATTTATTGTCTTTTTCATACAGTGAAATATCAAGAAAATAGAAAATCATCAGGAGGAATTGAACACAGCGGACTGAAAAGAGCTCGACACAGATATTCTTGTGACGCCACATTAAAATACCAGACTCTAAAAATAAAGCATTGACGGAAAACGTACAGCTCATTCAGTCAAACTGACGGATCAGGATTATTTGTAGCACAACCTTATTATTTGAAATTAATTGTTTCAGTTCTTTTGAGTAGCATTTCTCTAAACCAGAAGTGTCACCTATATTTTAAAACGCAGCAGGCTTGTCGCAGCATTACTTAAAGTGGTGTGGTGTTTAAATAAAGACTGTAAATACAGTCTGTACACAGGGGAAATGGTATAACAAGGTGTGTTTGAATTTTGAATATCCTAAAATCAACTTTAATACCTAAATTATAAGAAATGGATTTCACAGATGGCAGAGCAAAAATAAGTAGGCCTGCACTGACTGGCATGACAACACATCAAACACTGTACAAAACAGTAACAATACGCAATAACTCACAATGACAATGACAAATGGAAAGTATGTGTCACGGCGCGGTAAAGGAACACACCGTGCAAACAGGGGTCTGGGTCCAAATGCAGGTTTATTTGACTGCAGGGGAAAACA